AGCCTTTCCGCGTACACTACAACAACTCCGAGTTCAACGATGGTGGGTATGCCCGGTGCAAGGTCGGCGAGTCCATAAGCAGTCGGCCATTGCTGCCGGACCCATGCGAATCCGTCCTGATTCTCGCCGCGAAGGGTGCCAAAACATCAACCCGTAACAGACTCTATGTGGACCTGCCGGGCACGAACTTGACGCGGGGGCTCTCTGGAGCTCAAATGAAGACCAAAGAGGAACATGAAGTGCAGGTCCCCAAGGCCACGCACGTCAACATCTGCAAAGACATGAAGGCTGCAGTGGACACCGACGACCAGGGTGGCTTTCCTGGTATGCCCGGTGCAGAGCTGCCGGCAACAGATGAGGACCAAGAGACAGCTCCTGTCACTGCGGTGCACCCATGGCCGTTCACGATGAGCCTGGAGATGCACAGAGAGATGCTGAACATGTTCAAAGGGGATGCTAAAACAAAAGTGGTGAACTTCACTGTGGGCTTTGGCATGCTGGAGTCGGCTTGTCTCGCTGAGGGCCTTGCTTGTCATGCATTCACACTGAATGCAACGCATCGTGCGTTCGTGCACCAAAGGATTCTCCTCGCCGTGACCGTTGACATGCTTCGTGGAGGAACCAAGTTCATCCGCCGCAGGGTGCTTTCTCGGGAGCGATCCCTAGGTGGTGCTGATGCACCATCGTCGAGTGAGTTTGGGTCGCCAGATTCCAAGAGGACGATTGCGGACCACGCCCCACAAGGAAGTGAGAAGGTCGAGAAGGATCAGGACAACAAGAGCGGCGGCGATGATGGTGTGTCGGAGTCGTCTGAATCCTCTGCGGATTCGGGTGAGGATTAGGATGCTTGAACTTTTGCAGCCTAGCAGGAGGTCCATCAAACGTAGCAATCATGCCAGATAGTAGCTTACCCTCAACCGCACACACGCACACACAGCCAGTGCAGCGGTCATTCCTCACAGCACGGACCTTTTGCAATTTGGCCTAAACCGTAGCCTCTTCAATCACGCACAGATGTTGAAGGTCAGGGCTTCTTTCACATTGGTTTTCCGATCGCCTGAACTTGGTGTCAGGCATGTGACATTGGCTGAAGCACATGCTCACAGCTCCATTGAACGAGGTCCGATTTTGACATGTTGCCTCCGTGGCCGAGTATCGGAGCTTTTGTGTCCAGGCCTGGCCGTTTTCGCACGGCCGAACTTTTGACCCAGACACCTTCGTGAAACAGGGAAACCCAACAAATAACAGTAGGCAAATCATGCAGCCGTGTGCAAAGTCTCTGCGGAGGCAACGCGAAGTTTGATTTGCTTTCCATTCACCAGCATTTGTTTTGCATCAAGTGTGCGCTACCGCCTTGTGTCTCCTGCCCCAGACGCCATGAAGGGTTACGCGGCCATGGCAAACCAGCAGTACCGGGATCTGCTTCGGGCGCTGCACAATGGAACACGTGTATCCCCAGTTGCGTGCACCGAGACGTCACTCCAAGCCATCCACGACCAGTTTCGCCTGAACACCCGAGCACTTGGCTACAGCACGTCTGATGGCACGGTCAAGTCGTCGAACTTTCGCAAGCGCCGCGTCCACGAAGCCCATGTGTTGCATCGCAAGGCTGCGCGATGAACAATGTTCAACACCATGTTGCACTGTCCGTTGTTAAATCTCGCGTGAGACATGCGGCAGGCCTTCATGCTCATGATTGTCACCGTCCATGATCCACAGGTCGCATTCGAGAAGAAAGCGATCGTAGCCCTGGCGGGGAAATCCTTCCACTGTGTTCAGCCCCAGAGCGACCATGTGAGCATCGACTTCCAGGAAGTCACGCTGGAGACGGTTGTCGAGAACTTCTCGCCTCGCCAGCTCGGTTCCTGGCGCTTCTTCGCCTTGCACGATGCGAACAGCCAGCTGAAGGTCGACAAAGTCATCAAGAAGAACATGCTGCGTCAGGCCAGCATGTCCCAAAGAACTTTAAGTTTCATAACCGCACGTGCGAGCTTCTTCCCAGGACGAGGAGCTGCCAAACCACGCCCGGATCTATTTCCGGGACCTCTCGTCGGCTTGCATGATGGGTTGGTTGGCTTTGACTCCCGTGACTCCCGGCGCCCTGTCTGAGAGGATCGAGGTGGATGTGTATGTGGCACATGAGAAGCCAGCAGGGTTCGTGTACCATGATGTCGACAGTTCCCCCTTGACGGACGCTTGGCTGCAATTGGGTGGCTCATGAGGACATGGGCGTACCGTCATTCACGAATTCATAAAACGAAGGAGGTGTATGTGGATACCACGCAAGTTGTGCAATTGTTCCCGACAGCGGTCGTTACATCTGGCATCGTTGTCGAGCCCAACGGCGGTGTGGTCTCGCTGACGGCAGCTTTGGAGCGGTTGAGTGGCGAGCTGGCGACGCAGGATCTCCACGCTATGACCGAGAAGGTTGAGTTCTACAAGCGTGAGCTTGCGGATGCTGAGCGTGACTTGGTGTCGAAGCGCCGGGCTCTGGGCAGCGGCGTTGTCAACGCCCTGCCTGTTTCAGGCGCCACGGCGGCGGGGGACGAGAGCGACAGCAGTTCTGGTGCAGCCGAGTAGATTCACCAGCAGCTTCGATCTTTTGCGCCTGTCCGGCCGGCCGAGTTGTCCAGGACGGCACAGCTCAGGCTGGCCGAGCCGAGCAGAGTTTTTGTGCAGCGCAGATCCGTACTGCGTGCGTCGCCTGTAAGGTAGCAGCATGGACACCAACCCAAACAGTTGTTTGATCTTGTGTGCGTCGCATGCCAGTAAGGGTTTGTGCGATTCCTCACAAGACTGCAGGAAGTTTTCAAAACAAATGTCGATGTGTTTCTGCTGTGCGACTGAGTGCATGATCGGTCCTGTGTCACGTGCAGTTTTCGAAGCATCAAGTCGGCGACATTCTTCGCAGCAGCCCGTCGGTTCTTGCAGAGGTACCAACGGTGTCTCTTGTTCGTGCTCGTGCTCTGTTGGAAGCATGGTGAAAACTCAGAAGCGCCCAGCAGCGTCAGCGCAGGCTGGTCGGAAGAAGGCAGCGAAGGACAAAAGCTTGAAGCACGAGGCCAACATCACAGTGCTCCCTGGCGCTTTCAAGTTGCGGGAATACATAAAGCTCTTGACCAATGGGCAGGGCGTGCTGAAGGACGCGCCAGCGCTCGTTTGGTCGTCTTCCTGCGACGGCATGGACCCGGTCAGCCACTTGTTCAACGCAATGGGCGTGCCGAACGAGCACTTGTTTGGCGCGGAATGCGACACAGCGGCGGCGACGTTTGTCTTGAGCCAGCACCGCGCGCTCCAGCCGCAGCACCTCTACCAGGCCCGGTTCTCAACCCGCCGCGGGGTATGTTTTTGAAGCTTAGGCGATTTTAGGGGACGGGTTTGGGGTTTTCCTGTGAGAAGGGCATGCCGGTCAGAGGCTTTTCCGAAGTCCGTCTTGCGGAAGGGGCATCAGCTTGCAAGACGTTCATGTCGGCATGCGACGAACGTTGCACCAATCTCATTGCCGCTGGTGCTGCTGGCTGCTTTTTTTCGTCTCAGGGACACTGTTTGCGACCGTATGTCGAAGTTACACGCGCTGCATGAGTAGTGCAAGGGTTTTCTGCAATACTTTTCGCTGCCTTCCGCGAGTTTAGACGAGAGGACGTGCGCATGACTGGGGAGAACCCGAAGATGCGCCTGTTGTGCTTGAAGCACGGAAGAAGTTGCAGCATGCCTTCGGCGCAATCCCTGCTTCACCTGGCCGGTTTCACGTGCAAAGGCAACTCGACACAGAATACAAAGCACCGCTGGTCGAAGGAGACGGGCCCGCTCAGCACGGATGACCCCTCATTGTCCTGCTTTCAGATGGTTTTGTCCACTTTGCGGCGGACAAAGCCGCGGTATGTGGTGCTGGAGAATGTTGTCGGGTCCACGCTACGGGCATGCACAAGAAACGATTGGCAGTAGGCTTGCTTCGTTGAGTTTTGTTGATTCAGTTTATTTACAGAGGAGTGTATGCAAATGCAACCCCAAGGCTTCCAGAGAAGAAGTCCGGCACCACACCGATGCAGACGTACCTGCAGATGCTGAGGGAATCCCTGCCGCAGCATGAGTTCTGCACAGTGGGGACGACGGCCGCGCCGCTTCCACAGGTGCGGCCGCGAGTCTGGATTTTAGGAGCTGCAAAGGATGCGGGGCTGACGCCGGAAACTTGGGCGAAGGCTGTTTCGCAGCTCGAGAACAGGAGCCATCAGCAGCATCACCACATCCACACGTGCTATGAGGCGGTGACGGACCCTCGCGCTGGCCAGGCCAGCAACATGGACTGGAAACAAGAAGCGGCGTACGCCGAATGTTTCGCGAAGGCGCTCGAGAAATGCGTCGCCCACAAGAAGCTGGATAAGTCGGACCCCGTGCCAAGACGGGACGCCCGCCTCAGCGCGTCATTCAAGTTTGACACGCCGTGGCAGGCAGCGAATGCAGACGTCCTGGCTCTCATCATGAAGAAGAAGGCATCCAGCGGCACAGATGCAGATGCTGCCGAAGGCATTGCCGACCTATCTCAAAGTGCTTTCATGGCACGTGTCTCCCACAGCGGTGTGTGGGGGACGCTGACAACATCCTCGGCCCTTTTCGATTTTGGCCGCCGCATGCACGTGCCAGCAAGGGCACACATGAAGATGAATGGTTGGGACGATGTTGATGTGAAACGCCTTTCCGATGCCGAGGTGCGAGAAGGCATGGGGAACGGCATGGCGCTTCCAAGCCTGTGCCGCATCTTGTTCCCACTGCTGCAGCACCTGAAGTATTTCCGCTAGGAACCCCTGGGCGCAAGTGCTCAAAGATCTTGCTGAGTAGATGGCCTTCTCGGAAAGCCCAGTTTTGACAGTTTTGATTTCCAGCCCATGTCCGTTGTGCCCAGACATCATCACAACAGAAGACGTGCTTTAGCAGCCCGACTGCTGCAGCGTCCAGCACAGCGGCAACCATCATCGGCTCATAGATGTCCCCTGCCTGTCATAGCTGCCTTCATCCCGTCGTGCACGCAAGCGTTAGCTGTTGAGCATCAAAATGCATGAAGCTTCCTGTGCACAACCGTGCGATTTCGGTTGAACTCTCAGCTAAACACGCTTGTCAGCGAAGGCTGTAAGCGTGGGATGAAGGCTGCGGCGACGTCAGGCATGATGTCTCACAACAACGGACCGAGCAAAACAAGAAAGCTGCTTCTTGCTACTGTGGCAGAACAGAGTGGCGATGTTTGTGAAGCATTTCCTGTGTGGCGGTGACAACTTCTAATGGGTCAACCTTGGATGCCCGTTCTAATGAACAAACATTCGCTGTCGCGCATGACATCCTTGTGGCAGCTTTTGGCACCCGCGCCTTGGTTAAACAGTAGACAAAGCCATGGCAGTTTCCAAAGACATCGTCTGGGTTGGGGGCACGATCTCTTGCCCCAAAATTTTGTTTCCGGGAGCGACGGTCCATAACCTTGCAGACAGCATGGAGCAGGCTCGCCTCTTGCAGCGGGCGCGCATCAACAGTTCCTTCACAAAGGTGACGGTTGCGGATGGCCTGAGGGTGACGAGCGGTGAGTGTGTCGTGATGGGCATTGTGGGCAGCAAAGTCCTTCAGCGGCATGTTCAGCAAGCCATGTCAATCCAGAGTTGCAAGGGCATGGGCTTCCTAGTTGGCGACGTGCCTAAGACGGACTTTCTCCAAGAAATCCCAGGATGGACATACGCCCTGCGAGAGCTCCACTACAGCCAGTTTGGTGAAGGTCATTCACACGAGGGTTGCGCAGTGCTTCTTGTCCTCGTGAAGGGCAATGTCGAAGGGTTGGCAACCCGGCTGGCGTCGCTGTGCGGGGAAGGTATGAGCCAGCGCACGTGCCCCTGCAGCGCCTGTCCGGATCCAGATGGCCCACGGTCCACCATGAGCTTGGTGTCGACGCCGTCGGACGAGAAGATGAAGGATGCTGTGGATCTGCTGCGCCAGGGCGCGCCCGAAGGCCCGCACTACATCGACTCGAGCCGCAAGCGCCGTAAGATTTCGACAACGCCCTTGATGACAACTCGATCGTCCAGGAACCTTGTTCTGCTCAACGGCGATGTGTACGTGCTGGGCGTGAATGAGGCACTCATGTCCTTGGGATGGTGCGATGATGTGAATCTCCACTTGCTAGGCAGTCTCGCAACCCAGCAATCAGTAATCAGTGGTCTGTTGCCAAAGGCGCTTGTCAGGGCAGCTTGCGAAGCAACGCTGAAGGTAACTCACAGCATGTGACGTTGCACAGACGCTGAGCCGTGGGCGAGTTTTGAGTTGCAGCAGCGTCCAAACAAGTAGGAGTGGGGTCTCTGTACTGAAACTGCAGTTGGTGCTTGGCTGATTTTGGATTTACTGCCCGCGGGCTAGCTGCTGCTGGCCGTGAAGGTTGAGCTGCTTCTTGAAGATTTCTGCGCAGCAGTACTGTTCAAATGATTGGGACCGCTGAGTATGAAAATCACTGCAGGCTGCTTTCGCTGATGCATGGCATGTGCAGCAGGTTGACAACAGTACCGGCAGCTTGCGTTCTTCAAAACACATGTGCATCGACAGGTGCTGTGCCATTGAAAAGCTGCGTGCTCAGAAGCCGCACCCGTGTCCAAGTCAGTGGCCGGCCCGTTATTTGCACGGTCTGTGTGTGTGTGTGTGTGCGCGCGTGTGTGCGTGTTTGCGTGTTTGCGTGTGTGCGTGTGTGCGCGCGTGTGTGTGTGTGTGTGTGTGTGTGTGTGTGTGTGTGTGTGTGTGTGCGGGCGGCGTGCGTGCCGTCGTGCGTGCGTGCGTGCGTGCCGTGCGTGCGTGGGTGTGTGTGTGTGTGTGTGTGTTGTGTGTTTCGTGTGGTGTGTGTGTGTGTGTGTGTGTGTGTGTGTGTGTGTGTGTGTGTGTGTGTGTGTGTGCGTGTGTGCGTGCGTGCGTGCGTGCATGGGTGCGTGCGTGCGTCCGTGCGTGCGCGCGTGCGTGGGTGGGTGGGCGTGTGCGTGCATGCGTGCATGCGTGTGCGTGCGTGGGTGTGTGTGTGTGTGCGGAGGTTTCTGCGTGTGTGTGTCTGTGTGTGTGTGTGTGCGCATGTGTGCGTGCGTGCCTGCGTGCCTGCGTGCCTGCGTGCCTGCATGCGTGCGTGCGTGCACGCGTTTTTTTGTTTGTGTGTGTGTGTGTGTGTTGTGTGTTGTGTGTGTGTGTGTGTGTGTGTTTGCTCGTGGGTCGTTGGGCTCCAAGCAAGGCCTTTGCATCAAGCTCCTACAAATCGGTTGTTCGAAGTTCGAGGACTGACTCTCTCAAAGCTGTGGCAACGATCGCAATGTGCCCATGGTTCATGCAGACAAAAATCGCCAAGGCACTTCGTGCCACTTGCGGGAGGTACGAACTGATCTGCTCTACATGCTTCTTGCGGGCACCTTCGGGTTCTGGGGGTGTAGGGTTTGTGGATGAGCCAAAATGGCCGTGACAAGAGAATGCCTGTCAGCAGCCTGTTGGGAGCGCTCGCAAGCAAGCCGCTGTGAGCTTCATCGAAGCGAAAGAAGCTAACTCAACACACGCACACACACACACACACACACAGACAC